CAAAGACTGGTAAAAATCACTCCTATCCCCCTCCTATCCCATCGTTTATCGCATACAAAGTCTATAACGCGATTGGGATCACTTTATAGGAAATTATAAATACTACAAAGATACATATTTCCCCCAGGAATGACCCATTGAATCTATTTGGCTGACATTTCTAATACTTGATGTTCTTGACTAAAGATGTTACAATTTACGAAAGAAAAAAGAAATAAGATCGGTTTTAATACCTTACACTATTCTGTTCTATAGAAAAAATATATTAAATTCAAGAAGTCGATTTAAGCGTGTACTCATATTCTGGGTCAGCTTATACCTAATTTTTGACAACAGTTTAGGCGACCATGAACGATCGGTTAGCATAACACAATGAAAGGTCGTTAAGGGTCAAGTTAACTAAAAATCAACTTAACTCATATATACTCGGTTATAAAATTAGTGCAGATATCAATACTTAGGTAGGCTGGATGCAGCGAAGGACTAGCGGATGATGTTCATACTAAAAAGGATTTACACAATAAAGAAAAGGATTTTATATTCTCTCCCCTATCCCCTACGACTGTGCGTAGGTGCGTAAGCAAAATGCAAATTAAATTTTCCTCTTTTCTTCTTCACGTTGGTTTCTTAGAAAACCACAACTAAGATTTCGATTTATAACATTAATTAGAGAGGAAAAGTAATAATCTATTACAATTGTGGCTGCGTTAATGTTTGGAGAAAAAGAGAAATCATAATTCGTCTCTCGCAGAATCTTGGATACCCGTTACCCCATTTTTTATTAACGGCGTTTTTATTAGAGGAGAGAGGTTTTCTTTGCTACGAAGGTGCAGGGAATCCGCCCTAGTAAATGTGGCAATATCTAGACCGATATTTGGTACAAATCGTAGGTTGCCCATCTAAACAGTTCGTTTTTTCGCATAATTGCACTCTTATTTATCGGCAGATGTACTGATTATCTATGGAACTTATTAAGAGTACCTGTGATGTCTTTCAATATTGATCCCCACTTTAAGGACATAGACAGAATCGCACTTCTCCTCTACATGGCATCTTTAAGGCGTCTCTTCTTATGTACGGAAAGGAGAATAACAAACTTCGTGTACTTTCTACCTTTCGATGCTTAATATAAAGTTGGATTAATAATTGATTTAAAACTTGTATAGAAAATATACAATAACTCTTTTTTTAAGCGTGTGTGAACAACATTATTTATAACATCTGCATATAAACGCATACATGCGTACGTAGCCACACGCATAGATTTGTTTAGATTGCGTTGATTTCCCATTATCAACATGTTATCCTTTTTTTAGTTATGTCAATATTTTTTCAGTTGTGTGTTTCGTTTATATTGCGGGTTATAAACTCATTTCAGAACAACAAACAAAAAAAACTTACGATTTATTATCGAAGATATCTAAATTTATGTAATGCGAAACACATAAATTTTGTTTGCTAGCATTTGTGTATAAATTCGCAATAGATATGCATTTCATATAATGATGAAAAGTAACGTGATTTTCATTTATTGAAATTTTAATTACATTGCAGGTGGAAGCTATCGATAGTTATAAATTGTACTCATTCGCCCTCTTTCTTCCCAAGATAAGGTTACCAAACACATTTTTTTATCCCATTCTACCACATATAGTAGTATAGGGTATATTAAGTTTGTACGAATGTATGCAACGATCGGAAGGCATTCACATAGATGCATCTTTTATTATGTGGATCGACTCAGGATCACTTTCTGAATCGATTTAAGTTTGTCTGTCCCTCTGTATACCTTGTTATTCTTTGCACAATTTGTAAGTCGCAATATTTTAAATATTTTGACTTAGTACACTGAAGTGTCTTGGCCCAAGGATGATCGCTATTGAAAATGGTTCGGATAAGGCCATTTTTTGCGACCACATATAAAAAAATTTTATTAAAATTTTCGCACCTAGATTCCCATAGTAAGATTGTAGATGACAGCATGGCTTTACCTCGTCCACAGAGATCTTATCGAAGGTTGTTTGCTCCATCAGCAATCCGTTCGAATTTTTACTAACTTTTCGATAACAACAATAAATACAGAAAAATGTAATAAATATGATAAAATAAAATAGGGAAGAAAGTTATATTCATCTGGGGCCGAACCTCGTACACACGTTAGTATTAAATTCTTCTGCGCCCCTTGCTTTTATTTATAATCCATAAAAAAATGGATGCGATACATTTTATCTGTCACTTTTCACTTCTCTAGGAGATATTGTTAACAGATAAATTAACCAACCACATCGCGACGTCCACACATGACTGACAAGGAAGCAAGTTTAACAAAACTCGCAACGTCGTTAAAGGATAAGTTGATTTTCCCGCGGCTTAGCTCAGCTAATATTACAAAAATAAACATAAAGCCAAAAAAAAAGACAATTAAATCTATAATGGGCATAATAAAAAGTGGGTCTATCTCAGATCCTTCTGGATGTTGCATATATCCCCAAAAACATAATACATACTTGTGCCGTAAGTGGTGTAGGATACAAAAGGAAGGAAAGAAAGTTGGAAAACATACGTTTGCCTGTTATATGTCAGGCATTTGCTCGTCACATGTTGGGTGTCCGTTTGCTAATCATTCTCTGTAACATGCTTGTCCGTCAGTAAGTATGTTCCTGCGACTTTCCGCCTTCGTCTTTTCTAGCTTTACGACTCTCTAGCTTAGCAAAACCTTTATCGCCTTTCATTACTTTATCCCGCGCATCTCAATTACACACACTTTACCATACACTAGCACCTGAAATGAGAAAAAAAGTATATTGCCGCCGTGACACCTTTTTTTTAATTTATTTTCAAATCGGAAATGGTCAGTCCTAACTACAAAACTTCCAAAACTACATATCTTGTGATGTCAGCTCATAGTCTACGTACGTTAGGCAATGCACAAAGCGCTTTTCTTTTAATTTCTTAGACAAACCGCGTCTTAGGCAATGCACAAAGCGCTTTTCTTTTAATTTCTTAGACAAACCCCTAAAATACAGCATACTTTTAGGAAAGGAAAAAACTTTAACGTTTAAAAGAAAAACTGTCAACAGCAATTACCGCTACTGTAAAATTCCTCGCCGCCTTTAAGTCAAAAGTAATAAGCAAATGTTAAGTAATTTCATCGAAGAGACCATTAATTCATTTGATATGGAAAGTAAGTAAGTGCAAGAGGGGCTTCCCTAAAGCAGAGTTCAAAAATATTAAAAATTCGAAAAAAAATTCCATACAATCGATTTCCCAAACATTGCACTTTTACCCACCTATTAAGGCAGGCAAAAATTAAAAATCAAAAGCTCACCTGTAAAATGACTTACATGCATCTGCTTGCAGTTTTCGAATTCTTTTATATCAAATAGCTTCGGATACATAACATAAATGCATAATTGTTAAATATTTTAAAGCATGAGGAGAAGAAATGTATATTGAAAAATTCCTTTCCAACCTATTGACGTTTCGCTCTAACACATAAAGTCTAGTAATAATAACACCGGTATGTAATCGCGACGGTGATGTACCTCCAGTAAACTTAATAAACGACGGCAGAGCATTGAAAAGCAAAAAAAAAAAAAAAAAAAAGAAAATGAGAAAATAGAAAAACTAAAAGAATAGAAACATTTTACAAGGGTTTCCCACTCCGTTGTAAGACATATGTTCTGATTTCTTTTGACATTTGAAGCTGTCAAAATGTCGACTGCTTAAGCATGAAACAGAAAAGCCAACGCTAATTTACGATCGTTATTATTTCGTCTTGTGAAAAGATATTACTTAATATACAGACTTTCTGATATACATATGCCCATAAGAACCGCAAAGAATGCAGGGCATATTACGATTGCGATTGCGTTTCCCTTTGCCTTTGCATGTATTGCTTTTATTGTTTACGAGTTTTTTCCTCAAACTAATCTATGGTTGTCATTGATTTTACTCTAGGCGATCGGTAGGTACTTAGAATTCGTATAAAGTCGTCTCGCGTGTTTTCTCTTAACAATAATCACTTCTTCTGATGTGAACCTTTGCTTATAAGTGCGCCTTTTTTTTTTTTTTTTGTATATACAGCAATACTTAGTGCATTGTATGCTTGCGTATGCATGTGTGTGGCTGTGTGTATTTGTGAGTGCGTGCTTGTTGTAAATAACCGGCAAACACGTTTAACAGGTGACAGATAACGAAACCGCACAAAAAGAGAGCAAAACATACAACACGTGAGAGTATAGCAAAAATTGTTGCTGTTCATTAGTTTAATTTGTTTATAAATTGAGGTTATGCTCTACTTTCCGTATACTTTATGTTGTTGTGTCGCTTTTTGTTACTAAAAAAAAAAAACACTTTTTAATACATAAAGAAGGAAAACAAAAAAAAACAAAAAAAAAAAAAAGAAAAGAAATAGATGAACTCCGCAAATGCACCTCTTTTAATGCGGAGCACCTAAGACCCACACATGGAAACATTCATACGTACAGCCATACATATATGTGGACGGACGCATTTGTGCAAAGACCAGAAAAATCGCACTCATAATACATCAGTAGTTTGCCTTTCATTCATTCGTTCGCTCACTTGCTTTGCTTACTTTTCGTATTTTTGCTTGCATTGCCGTTGTTGGTATTGCAATTTTTTCTTGTTTTTTTTTTTTTTTTTTTTTTTACTTTATTTAATTTCATTTCATTTTACAATGAGTACAAATTTTTTTTTTCTCTTTATTTCATGTTATTATGCTCCCATGTCCCACTTGCTGACGTTGTCGGTTCGTTTATCGACATCATCTTTTGCTAGCCGCTCGCTCGCTCACTCGCCGCTTTAGTATGACTGTTTTCGCATCTAATATTATACATTAGTGTATTTTTGACCCAGCCAGCTTTAAATTGTGGTTTACTTTGCCTTGCTTTACTTCACAGTATCTAAAGCGATTAAAAATTATCAAATATATTTTACTGTGGCCCAACTATCCACTATCACTTGGTGCGTAAAAGCGTTTCTTGTTTTAATTAAATAAAATAAAAAATATTAAAAAAGAAAAAAAAAAAACAAAGAATATAATATCTTTTAAGTGGTTGAGTGTGTAAATCAAACATATATATTTCTTTACCTTAGTTATTACTTAGTAATTTTATCTAAGGAAGATAATTTATAATATAAATGTTTATAGCAGCAGCAAACGCGTTTATATGATTTTGATTTGTGCGTCATATAAAGTACGAGTTAAAGAGTGAACGAAGCAAATAAACTCTGCTGCTGTTACTATTCGCTCCATTTCATCATCTTTCGTTCGTCCATCGTGCGAGCGCATTCTTCTTCAGTTCAATATGAGGGAAATTGTTCATTTACAAGCAGGCCAATGTGGTAATCAAATTGGTTCAAAGGTTTGTATATTATTATATGAAGTAAAAAAAGAATTTTCCTATGAATTCAGTTTTCTTCTTTCCATAAGAGTGTATTATGAAAGAAAAACGATAAAGAAAACTACGGTAAATTTTGAAATGAAAAATAAAATCAAATGAATTCAACATAACCTCAATTTTTTTTAATTACAACATATGAAGATAAAAGAAATTGTTATGAAAATAAAACATGTACGTTAACACATACAACTAACTCTCGTATAATGCAGTGCCTGTACTTTCAAAAAAGTGCGCCTAAACGGAAATCTCACCGGGTCCGATAAAATGGCGATGATAGGTAGATGTGAGCATGTAACATGCATTTTAAATAGTGTCTATGTCAACGGTTAACTAACTAACCCATAACTATACATATGTATTATGTATATATGTAGTACTTATGTAGGAAGTGAATGCGGTTATGAACGGATTTTCCTCATTTTTAATGCAAAACCATTTGCAACGAACAGAATGAATTATTACAATGTTAGCAATGAATAAGCAAACCGACAGTAAAAATTAAAAAAAAAATAATAATAAATTGCTTGATAGGCTTAAAAATGTTAAGTTCAATAACGGAGACAATCTCGTAACGCTTTAAAAGTCAATGTACCTGAGATGTCAATATATGGAATAAAAGTGAACAAATTACACTCTCCTGGACGGCGTATATATTTTGCTCAACCCAATATTGCGTTAATTTAATTCCCTTGCAGTCCTATGAATGACATCATAAGTAGAAAGATAATTGAAAGTATGTCAGTGATCTCTGATACCGAATATAGAATATTACTGTGATAACAGAGAAAAATATGTCCACACATATAACGACAATTGCTGCTTATTTCAAGCTACTTTATAGCAAGAGTGTACACTTGCGTTATACGAGGACAACCGATATTTCTTGTTATGCGACCTCTCTCTTTCTATCTGCAACTACACGATATGTTAAGTTTTTCATAGTTTTTACAGGGCACTTATGAAGTTCTCTTTAAATTTTCTTTTCGCGAAGTCTATTCACTTGCGGATGTGGACACAACCCATTAACGTTTGTAGATAGAAGAAATTGATTTCTACTTATTTACGTACATCCCCAGTCCCCGACCTGCTCGAAAAAAAGCTCATAAAATATCAATGCAATCTGGACGTGTGATCTACGCTTTCGATGATGAGAGATAAGGTTCTTCATTCAGAAAAAATTTCCAATTTTTCCGTTATAGCTTTACCCGATTCCTAGTAGGCAATTAACAAAATCCCTTTCACATTCTAAAATATTGCCGCTCTGATCTTTTTTAAACGATTTGATTCATTTTCGCTGATTAAGTGCTGAGAAATTGACCCAACTCACTGTATGACTTACTTACTGTTGAAGTGGTGAAGTGGAACATAAGTCTTACTCTTGTTTCGAATGTATTCCTGATAAAAATTTTTAGATACTTTTCAGAAGATTCTACTTGAAGGTCCTCCTCTTAGAAATTAGAAAGTGTTGCAACCATTTTGCCTAAAACTCTTCCGCATCAAAAACGTTGATTGATATCTAATGTGTGTGTGAGATCCCTTTGTCGGCTTTTCTTTATCATGTAATTCATTTTTATCGAAAATCTCTTCAGTAAAAGTCGAGTCTTTTCTTTACCGAAAAATGTCTGTACGACGATGTGAAGCACAAGTCTGAGACCCGATTCGAATATATTCAAATGTATTCCTCATAAAACGTTTTAAATTCTGTTTAGAATTCTCTCCCTGAAGACCCTTCTCTTCCGAAGCCAGCCACCATTTTCTATGTAACTTTCCCGTACCTAAAACGTTGTTTGATGTTCTCCCTATGGCCCTCAGAATTAAGCGTAAAACGATAAATTAAGTTTCAAAGCGGGAGCGATTTGCTGCTAAAGCGATCCCTTCTTTTCCTATTAAAGCCAAAACACCGCAACATATAACGATTAATCCACTAACGGGTGGGTCTTGACTTTGCAAAAATTTTCACAATTTTCATACATTTTCCTCAACAATTGGATATTGAAAGCTTACTGCAAAGCGAATATGTGCATTCTTGGATATACCCATCACCAAAGGATGAGGGGTATATCCATTTTGTCAAAACGTTTGCCAGAACAAAGGTTCAAAGACTCCACAAATTACATATATTCTCGATCAGCACCCAATTCTGAAACAATTTCAACATATCCGTCTGTCTGTCTTTAGCAAACATTCTTCTGGTTCCAAAGATTGAGCTGACTTCAAATTTGACAAAAACATTAAAAGTTTTTGGACCCAAATTGGTATTAAAAAGGCCAAATAGGTCGAGGGTTATGCCTACATTACCGCATAAAGTGGGGACATCTCTGTTTTTCAGAAGAAATACAAAATTCTTTGCTCAATACTCATAAATTACAGCGGGTAAATTCACAAAAGTTTGGACGTACATTCTCTAGGCGACGCTGCGGTACTTCCGCAAAAATGGAAAAGATGGATCACGCCTGCTCAATATTAAAATGTATCAAAATTTTAATTTTTTTTCCATTACATTATAAACCGCACAAAGTATAAAAATTTGGAATGCACCTAAACGGGTCCATCCTTTCGTCTGTCCATCTGAAATGAAATGAAGGTATTGTTCACAAATTTGCAAAAGAATTTAAAAATAATCCATATTGCCAAAATTGGGGGCGGCATTGCTCTTCGTGTTTTTTTGTTTGTTTCTCATCAATTAAAACAAGTGTTATGCTGAAAACAAGAAAAATCACCCGCGCACACTCAGTGTTACAAAGTATGAAAATGTAGTTCTATTGCTGGTTTTAGTCTTCTCTTGGGATAACGGTGAGGGGTATAAAAGATTCGGTCACGACCGAATATAATTACTTGGTCTTGTTGTTTATTATTAGTGCAATTCTTTTTTCTTTTGTTAGCATTGCCGCGCCGGCTTCTCCCCTCTTGTTCATGTGATATATTTTATCATTTCATTCGTACTTTCAATATTTTGTACGAAAACGTAATTGTTTTTTGATAAATACACACTTTAATGAATGGCATTAAAAGAAAAAAAAATGCAAAAGAATGAATAAAAGAGTGAAGGATATGATAGAGAATTCGCTTTAAACAACAATAAGTCTCTTTCACCATATAAAGAGATGCTTGACGCTGTTAACCTGAATAATATATATATATATGTATATATATATGTACATGTAGTCTTTTTTGTTTTATTTTTTTTATTTTTTTTTTTTTGTAAAGAAAGCTTTAAACAAAAAGATAAGAAAAAAAGCCATTGGACTAAACAAGCGTTAGCGTTCACTGTTGGAGGCAAAGTTTTTTCTTTTTTATACGATTTAAGTTAATTTAATTTTTTATTTTCTAAATTCATTGCATTCCGTGCAAAATAAAAATTATTAAATAAAAGAATAAAATAATGTTCGATTCATATTCGTTCAATTCGTCATTTGGTTGCACATATATTAAAAATCCATTAACAACAAGTCCATCCTAATGGAATAAATAATAACAAAAAAAAAAAAAAAAAAAAAAGCAAAAATTATTGCTTCTGAACGCAACTGATGACACAACAGTCACAACCAGCCAGTGTACAAACTCATTACACAATTCATACAATAACGTGTATATATATGTATATAAAAAACAAAAAAGAAGATTTTCCCGATGAGGTCTTTTTTTCAAACACGTTTGGCCAGTTAGAAGCACAGTCAGTGTACGTACATACAGCGCCTGTACATAGATCCATATAAAAACTATACAAAAAGCAACAAATGCGTTCACAAGTATACGCGTGTATGACAGTAGATTTTATTTGTGCCATTTATTGTACGATTTCACATAATGTTTTACCAGATAAGATAATGTTCAGCAAAATGAACGCATGTACATGTTACGATTTGGTCCACAAGGCCATATGGTATGTTTACGGTAAAATTAATTTCAAAAATTTTATTGTCAGAGAATATTTGTGCAAATAATTGAAAAAGAAAAAAAAAAAAAAATTAAATGCAGTGCAGTCTGTCTACGTACATAAAACGTATGTGATTATAAGCACTACACTATTATTATACATGCAGTGGGATGGAAAGTAAAAACTTAACATAGAAAACTATTACAAATTATGAGTTAAGACTAATAGCCAGAGATGTGACAAACTATTTCTTTGTTGATTTTGTTGATTTTATGTTATAATAAGATTAATATTATGGTGTTTTATTCTGGCTACTCGTTCGGAATACCAAAACTGATGCAACGTAAAAAAAAAAAAAAAAAAATGTTGAACAAAAAACTCACTGTTTTCCCCCATATGGTTAATAATCCTTGGCTGGAATGAAATTGAAAAGGAGCTCCATCCTTTCATAAATGCCAATAATTGAAAAAAAGCAAATAAAGACGGGCCAGTGCCCGCGGTTAAATACCTCAAACCACCTCATCCAATATAGTGATTCATATGACGACTTCTCAAAATGAAGACTTGTATAATGAATGACCGAAAAAATGGCTCAATCCGAATCATTTCGAGTGGCGTCCTTCCTAGGGCTAAAACCTATCGATCTCAAAAATGGCAGACACAAGAATAGATGGATAGATGGACAGATAAGCCTAGTGAATCTTAATCGATCGGTATAATAAAAGGTAGGTCTCTTTCAAGTCCTTCCATCCTGTTAAGGTTAATATGTACATAGTGGTCTAGACGATAAAAACTGCCGGCACTAATATCTGTCTTAAATTTTTCCAAAAGCGACTTCGGTTTTTTCACTCCTTTACTATTGATTGATTGCTATTGAAGAGTATAGTAAACATATTTATGAAACAATATTTAATTAATGCGCTGCAATGCGCATAGGCATCTCTCGAGAATATTGTGCGCAACATTCATATCGCCCTAAAGATATCAAAAATTAATAGCAGGTCGAACGATTTTCTGACAGAGCGACCAACATTCCATAAGATCTCTGTGCACAAACTAAGGTTATTCCACTATCTAAATCTTT